TAGAGTGCTGTGGCATCACAGCTCACATCAACCTCAAACTCTTGGGCTTAAGCAATTCTCTTGCCTCAGCTTCCCAAGTAGCTGGGACTACAGGCACCTGCCACAATGCCTGGCTATTTTTGTTGTTATTGTTGTTGTAGTTGTTGTTGTCATTTGGCAGGCCTGAGTCCTGTTCGAACCCACCAGCCCTGATGTAGGTGGCCGGCGCCCTAAACACTGAGCTGCTGGTGCACTACCCTAATTTTTATCACTAGGAATTGGTTTTGTTTGTTCTAGAACTTCATATCTAGAATCATACAATTGTAGTCTTTTGAGTATGGCTTTTCCATTTAGCATCAAGCTTTTGAGATTCATCCTTGCAGTTGTGTATATCAATAGTTCATTTACTTTTATTGCTGGATATTATCTATTATATGAAGGTGCCATAATTACTTGTCTGCTCTACTGCTAAGGAGCACTTGAGTGGTTTCCAGTTTGGGGCAATTAGGAATTATATTCACAGAATTTGGTATATGGAAGTGAGGGAAATTCCACTGACAAATGGCTGGGTCATAGGGTGGGCATATGTTCAGCATTGGGGAAAACTGGCATTATAATGTTTCAAAGAATTAATTAGCATTTTGACATTTATTATTTTGAAGACTGACTTATGTAATTGTAAGAAATATTGAAAATTTAAGTTTAACTTCAAAGTACATTGGCTTTATGTTTCAGAACAAAATGGGTTCCTTCTATGACTGGTGGCATATTACTGCTCCATTGACTTATTTTTTGTTTTCATTGGGCATTTTATATAACTTGCAAATACTAACAGGTACCAACTATTTGAAAATAAAAATACTTCAGATTGTTGGCATGGCTCTATTACTTTGTGAATTACTTAGGCTAAAATTTATACTTAGTTCATGTACATTATTTAAATTTTCTCAGTAGTCCTTAATATCAATGTAACCTGAAAGAGAAAAATGGTATTAAAGCTAAAGTGGGTTGGCTAAACGCAAAACCAAAGCAACCATTTCAATTGGAAAACACTACATGTGTCTTATTACAAAGCCAGTGTAATTTGAATTTGAATTGAATTGGAATTTGAAGTACCACTTGTTTGTCCAGTTCTTACACAATGGGAAAGTCCTCTCAGAAGATGCAATAAATGCCTTGGCCCTCAGAGTGAAAAAGCTCTGGGAGGCCCCAACCGCCATTTTCCTCTACAGAACCAGCCTTGCACCACAAGGGGGCGCCATTGGAGGACACTCGAGCCTCTTGGGGGCGCGTGCGCTGGGCGAGGAGCTGCCACTTGCTGCACGCGTCAGTTGCAGGCTTCTTCGCACCGTCGCCCCAGAAAATGGGGTCTGATGGCCCATTTTGCAGATGAGCAAACGTGCAAGCGTAGTCACATCACAGAGAAGAGGCAGAACTGGGATTTGAACCTAGGTCTCTTTGATTCTGCAACCTGAAGAAATTTCCACCAGTGGCTTTCTCTGTGTATATGAGACGGAGGTACTTTTCTTCAACCAAGCCCGTTCTGTGTATCCCCTCCAATTTCTGGCACCTTCCCCTCCCACCTTTTGTACAAGAACCTCCTCAAACTCCCCTGGCCCACATCTCTCATGGGCTATCATTTCCCCTCAGCCCACCAAGTATCCCCTCCACTTGTCCCCTCATCTCCCCTCCACCCTGTCTGGGTCCAGCCCTGTCTCCACCTGCCTGCCCAGGTCTCTGCCTGGGCCTCCCCCTGAACACCCTGCTTCAGAAAGGTAGAACCACCTGCCCAAGTTCTCACTCAGCAGAAGCACAGTTCTGGGATTCAGGATTCACATGTGAGTCCGCCTGCATCTTGCTCCTACTCCCGGGAAGGCCCATGTCCTAAGTAGACATTAGGGGGTGCACTCACCCCTAGGCCCAACTCCACCCTGCACCACCAGTGAAGCCTGGGAACCAGAGGTCATGGGCACATCACCCTGCCCATGTGGCCAGACATTAGCACAAGCTGGAATTTCAGGTCTATAAATCACTTGGGTGGCGGGGAGCTCATAAAATCTGTTCTCCCATCCTGGTCTACCTGCTTGGCCTCTTGTCCCTCCTCTGGACACCCTCCCCGCTTCCTTGGAGACTGGCCCAAGGAGGGGCCCTGGCATATATAGGGAGCCAGGGTTAGTGGGGCTGGCCCGAGAGGCTTGGGGCACAGAAGGTAAGGAGGGGGCTCTGTGAGTCTGGGTACAGCAGGGGGCGCTGGGAGGGTCTGAGGCTCAGGGAGAGTCAGTGCTGGGTTCTGCCCAGTGATTGTCCTGCCTGAGCCTAGCTTTCCCCTCCTATAAAATGGCTCACTCCCAGGGTGGTAGGCACACTGGTACAGGCCTGGGCTCAGCAGAGAGCTGGAGCAGCTCCTGGCAACTGGGAGGTGCAGTTGGCTCCCCCTAGCTGAGTGGGGGCATTCAGCTAGGCCCTCACTTCACCTCCCCAGCCTCTGCATGGCCTCATCCTGCTCATGTCTCCCAGGTAGGAATATGGCTTCTACAACAACAGAGGCAGAGAAGGGATCTCCAGTTGTGGTGGGGTTGCTGGTCGTGGGCAACATCATCATTCTGGTGAGACACGTCCCAGTGCTGGGGGCTGAGTGGGTGCGTGGTGGGGAGGGGTTGTCCTGAGCATGGGGGTGGAGGCCGAGGACCCAGAATTCCCTAGTGGGTGGGTGCCTCAGACTCTCAAGTCAGCACAGCCTGGGTTTAAACTCCAGCTCTGCCGCACCCCAGCTGTGTGACCTTTGCAAGCAACTTTACTTCTCTGTGCCTCCTTTAACTCATCTACAGATCATGACCTCATTGTGTGGATTGTTGTGTGGATCGATGTGTGTATATATAGCCCTCAGCTCAGAAGTACTTGGCAAATGCTAGCTACCATCATCAACAGCCTTATGGACATAGAGTGACCATTGACACGCAGGAGGCTGTAATAATGAGCAACAACAATGGCTTTCAATTAATGTTGGGTTTTGCTTTTTAAAATAAGTGATTCCTGGCCTGGCACAGTGGCTCATGCCTGTGATCCTAGCACTCTGGAAGGCTGAGGCAAGTTGATTGCTTGAGCTCAGGAGTTCAAGACCAGCCTGAGCAAGAGGGAGAGCCTAGCTCTACTAAAAATAGAAAAACTAGCCAGGCATGGTGGTGGTGCCTGTAGTCCCAGCTACGTGGGAGGTTAAGGCAAGTGGATTGCTTGAGCTCAAGAGTTTGAGGTTGCTGTGAGCTATGATGACATCATGGCACTCTAATCAGGGGTCCAGAGTGAGACTATGTCTCCAAAAAAAACCCCAAATAAATAAATTAATTAAATGTGTGATTCCGGGCCAGGCATGGTGGTTCATGCTTATAATCCTAGCATTTTGGGAAACTGAAAGCAGGTGGATTGCCTTAGCTCAGGAGTTCAAGAACAGCCTCAGCAAGTGCAAGACCCCATCTGGGCTAAAAACAGGAAAGCTAGCTGGGGGTTGAGGTGGGCACCTGTAGTCCCTGCTACTCTGGAGGCTGAGGAAAGAGGATTGCTTGAGCCCAAGAGTTTGAGGTTGAGGTGAGCTATGATTCCATGGCACTCTACCAAGGGCAACAAAGTAAGACTGTCTTAAAAAAAAAAAGAAAAAGAAAAATGTGATTCCTGCTCGTGGTTTGATTTCTGGCAGTGGAATTGCTGGGTTGATGCATTTGTGATCTTTATGATTTTTTGTGAGTCTCATTCCTCCCTCAGGGAATAACAGCACTTTCAAGGGTGGGCAGGTAGACCAAGCATGACCTCTGTGCCAGTCCCAAGCTCCAGGCTTTACATGTGGCATCTTCTCTTATGTTTAAAACAGCTGGCAGCTGAGATGTGGGGGTCATGTTCTAGCTGGGCACTCCCTTCCCTCCTGGTCTCTGCTCAGCCTCATCCCTGCTCATGGAGGGCAAGGTCTTTACCACTCACGGCATGCCCACTTTAATGAGGGGGCAGGGGAAGCTCACAACGGGGAAGCAAGTTGCTTGTGGGGACTCATGGGGCCAGGGCTTCTGACCTTTCTAACCAGCTGCTCTGTCCAGCTGTCAGGCCTGGCCTTGTTTGCCGAGACCGTATGGGTGACTGCCGACCAGTACCGTGTGTACCCGCTGATGGGAGTCTCAGGCAAAGACGACGTTTTTGCTGGTGCCTGGATTGCCATCTTCTGCGGCTTTTCCTTCTTCGTGGTGGCCAGCTTTGGTGTGGGTGCAGCACTCTGTCGCCGCCGGTCCATGATCCTTACGGTGAGGCCCTAGGAGGTAGATAGATGGGATGGAAGGGCACAGAGATCATTGTCCAAGATTCATAACTAGGGTGGATTCCAGATGCACCAAACTCAGACCCTTACGGGCATCATTTCATTTTATCTTCCCATAGCCAGTAACATAGGCTTAGCTGGTATTCCCAATGCACAAAAAAGCTGGGGAAGGGAGGGAAGGGAGGGAAGCCCTGAACAGCAGGATGACTCAAATAGTAGGGCTGGGATTTGAACCCCAACTGGTTGGGCTCCCAGGCCAATACCCATGAGCTCTGCCAATGAGAACAATGACAAAAATAATGATAGCACAGCTACTCTGTAATGAGTTTTTGCTATATGCCGGGAGCTATTCTAAATGATTTAGGTGGATTGGTTCATTTATTCCGCACAGCCAACCATGAGATGCTATCATCATCATCGCCATCATCATCGTGATCCTATTTGACAGAGATTGAAACTGAGGCTCAGAGAGGTGGTGTTATTTTTCCAGGGTCACACAGTAAGGGAGTGGTAGAGCCAATTTGAACCTGAGCAGTTCAGCTCCTGAGTCTGTGCTCTTAATCTCTCTCTGTCAACAACACACATTTCCCAGGGATCTCCCCTGTGCCTACAGTGAGCAGTTTAGATGATTTCTCTCAGCCTCCCAGAAGCCCTCTGAAGTTGGCTTTTCAACCCATTTAACAGATTTAGAAACTGAGGCTCCCAGAGGCCAGCAGCCTCTCCCAGGTGACTGGGAGACACAGATTCCAATCTAGGCCTGGCTGACAGGGTGTTTCAGATTTTCAGGAGCAACTACTTATTCAGTCAACAAATGTTTACTGAGCAGGAACTATGAGCCAAGCCCTTCGCTAGGCAGAGGGGTTACTGGAGTTAGTGACACCTAAAAGCCCTTGACCCAGAGGAGAGAAGCTCTGATGAGGGGCACAAGGAACAGGGAAAGGAGGTCAGGAGCTGGGGAAGGGCAAGGGGAGCCCTCACAGCACCTCAGACCTGGAGGAGCTGAGGGAGTGAGCTATTTCCAGGCTGAAGAAGGGAGCCAGGAGTCCAAGATGGCAGAGGCCCACTGAGGAGGGGATGGGGGGTGAGGGGAAATGGGGACTGGCAGGGAGAACAGTGAGGGGCAGGACGGGAAAGGAGGGAGTGCTTTGTGGGACCTTGGCTTTATCCTGATAAGATGGAGCCATGGAAGGGCTTCATTTCTTCCTTCCTCCCTCCCCCCTCCCTTCTTTCATTCCTTTCTTTTCTTCTTACCATATATTTAATTCTCTGGCATAACAATTTAAAACCCCCAAACCCTAAAAGTGCACCCACCTAGCAAGAAAACCCAAAATATTGTGTCTCCTCTATCCATTTGTCATTAACTTAGACAGAATTCGTTTTTAACTTTCTTACGAGAAATTTTGAAAGTCCACTAAAGTAGAAGGAAGGGCATTTTGAGTCCTGTGTCCCTGTCACCCAGTCTCAACAGTGTCCACCACAGACTGGCTAGTGTTGGTGCCTCTCCTCCACCCTTTGCCAGCTCACATTTTTTTCTTACCGGGGTATTTTGAAACTCATTCTAGACGTCAAGTCACTTGCCCGTAAATATTTGAGCGCACCCTTCTCTGAGTGATAAGGACATTGTTTTAAAGTGGCAGGACATGTTATGCAATGTTGTCTGGTCTCTCAGCGTGGGGTTGGTACTTCTGTGACCTCCCACTGCTGTACAAGGGAGGGTGAGGGATGAGGACAGGAAAACAATTTTCATTAAACACCAACTACTGGTTGTTTTTTTTTTTTCACTCTTTGTCACGGGCGCCACCTCGTCCCTTCCTTTCTTCCAAGACCCAATCTGTGCTCAGATCTCCCTGACATGTGAATGTCTGTGTTTTTTTTTTCCTCTTTATAGTAGACATTTGTTTTATCAATTCCAAGGCAATAGTTTATCTCAGGAAATACACTATTTTTTTTGTTGATAAAATTTCCTTTAACATTTTATTAAACCATTTCAAATATACAGAGAAGTTGTAAGACTTGTGCAGTGAACACCATATACCCCACTATGGAGGTTGTAATGTTCACACTGTCCTGTACTTTTATTTATTTATTTATTTATTTATTTATTTTCTTTATCTTTTTTTGGAGACAGAGCCCCACTCTGTCTCGCTGGCTAGAGTACCCTAGCGTCACAGCTCACAGCATCAACAGATCCTCTTTCCTCAGCCTCTCCAGTAGCTGGGACTACAGGCGCCCAACACCAAGCCCGGCTAGCTTTTCTATTTTTAGATCGGGCCTCAATGTTGCTCAGGCTGTTCTCGAACTCCTGACCTCAAGGGATCATTGCACTTCAGCCTCCCAGAGTGCTAGTGTTAAAGGATACAGCCACCACCCCTGTGCTGTCCTGTACTTTCAAAAACCTTCCTTTTTCTGGGTTTGGATCTGGCGGGCTTGAGGGTATGGCTTCGCAGGCTCCGGCCTGACGAGCTGCCCCTCCTCAATCTCTCTCCTCCGTCTCTCTCCAGTACCTGCTGCTCATGCTGATCATCTACATCTTCGAGTGCGCCTCCTGCATCACGTCCTACACCCACCGAGACTACGTGAGGCGGCCAGCGGCCAGGGGAAGAGCTGACTTGGGGTCAATGGGGAGGGTCCCCGGTGGGGGTGGAGGCCGAACTCCCTCCCCACTCAGCCCTCCTGCACCCTGCTGGTCCTGGCTCTCCACAGATGGTGTCCAACCCATCCCTGATCACCAAGCAGATGCTGACTTTCTACAGTGCAGACACGGACCAGGGCCAGGAACTGACCCGCCTCTGGGACCGCATCATGATCGAGGTGGGCGGGGTGCTGGGAGGGCCTGGGCTCTGTCCACCAAGGTAGGTGGGGCCCCCATAGCGCTACTCATCATCTCACTGCGAGATGAGGGAGTGCTTCAAAGACATCCACTCACGTGACCCCTGTGAGGGCGGGGATCTAGTCATCACCCCTTTCCAGGCCCAGAAAGGGAAAGTCTAGGGCCTGAGGTCACAAAGTTGCTAGGTGGGAGAGCTGGGATTGGAACCTGGCAGCCAGGATCCAGAGCTCTAATCTGTTACACATACTGCTTCAGTAGTAATAACAATAATAGTAACAGCAATCATTTATTTAGAACTAACTTGTTTTTAGTGTTGTTCAAAGTACTATTAAAATTTATTCAATCCAGACTGGGCACAGTGGCTCACACCTGTAATCCCAGCAGTCTGGGAGCCCAAGGCAAGTGGATTGCCTGAGTTCACAGGTTGGAGACTAAATAGGTGTTGTGGCTAGCACCTGTAGTCCCAGCGCCTCAGGAGGCTGAAACAAGAGAATTGCTTGAACCCAAGAGTTTGAGGTTGCTGTGAGCTATGACGCCATAGCACTCTACTAAGAGTAACAAAGTGAGACACTTCCTCAAAAAAAAGAAAAAAACTTATTTAATCCTTACAATCACCCCTACAAGGAAGATCATTTGGGGGGGACAAGTTTTGTGGTAGTTGTGGCTACAGGCACCCACCACAGCACCTGGCTAGTTTTTCTATTTTTAGTAGAGATGGGGTCTCACTCTTGTTTAGGCTGATCTTGAACCTGTGAGCTCAGGCAATCCACCTGCCTTAGATTCTCAGAGTGCTAGGATTACAGGCGTGAGCAATAGCACCCAGCTGGGAGATCAACTTTTTAGCAATGAGAAAACCAGAGCGGCACCTGTGACTCAAAGGAGTAGGGTGCCGGCCCTGGCAAAAAAAAAAAGAAAGAAAGAAAGAAAAGAAAAGAAAAGAAAAAGAAAGAAAAGAAAGAAAGGAAAGAAAGAAAGGAAAGAAAGAAAGAAAGAAACAAACAAACAAACAAACCATGGCAAGAGATTGCATAGCTTGCGTGAAGTCACAGAGCTGGTAGGTCACAGAACAGGAAGCATTCAAAGCCAGGTTCCGGAAGCCACTCTCTTAATTAAACCAACATTATATTGTCCCAGAAAAGGAAGAAATTGAGGGCTCAAGGGAAACTGAGGTCCCACTTGGCCCTACTCATCTAGCTAGCCAGGATTTGAACCCACGTGTGAAGGACACCCAGGCCTGTGCTTTCATCATTTGGGAGGAGCCACAAATTAAACACTCACCAGGGCTAGAAAAAGCCAAAATTTGCCCCTTCTGTTATTTTGTCAGCATCGTTCTTGTGATTGTGGGTTTGATCCAAATCCCCTATCAGCCTTCTGGTCCTGGGACAAATATCACCTGATCCTTGGCCACAAACATCCACAGACACGCTCCCGCACCACTTTCAGCCCCTGGATATGGGGAAGTTGGGCCCAGCAGTTGAAAGCCAACCTTGCCTCTCCTCTCTGTGCAACCTCCAGCAAGCGGCTTCTCTCCGAGCTGGAGCTGCTGACCCCCGTCTTTCTCTCCAGCAAGAATGCTGTGGCACGTCTGGCCCCATGGACTGGGTGAACTTCACATCAACCTTCCGGGCAGCCACTCCAGAGGTGGTATTCCCCTGGCCCCCACTGTGCTGTCGCCGGACAGGAAACTTCATTCCCATCAATGAAGAGGGCTGCCGCCTGGGCCACGTGGACTACCTGTTCACCAAGGTGTGTCCCCCTTCCCCTTGCTGCTCCTGTCTGTTGGTCTGACTTTCCGCTGGGCTCTGCCCCCTCTTACTCCCTCTCTGGTTTTCTTTTTTCCTTTCTCCCTACCACTGTCTGTCCATCTCCTTCCCTCCCTCTCCTCTCTCTGCTTTTCTCTCTGTCTCCTCTCTCCCTGGCTCTCTCAACTCTCCCTGCAAGTTAGCAGGAGGTGTTTGGGATCTGTGCGATCCAGACCTGCCACCTGAAACTTTTCTCATGTTGTCTGGGAGTAAGAGCAACACCAACTGGGGCCAGATGCTGTGACTCACACCTGTAATCCCAGCTCTGTAGGGGGCCGAGGTGGATGGATTGCTTGAGCTCAGGAGTTCAAAATCAACATGAGAATAATGGAGACTCTCTAGTAAAAACAGAAAAACTAGCTGGGTACTGTGTTGGCCGCCTGTAGTCCCAGCTATTCGGGAAGCTGAGGCAAGAGAATCATTTGAGCCCAAGAGTTTGAGGTTGCTGTGAGCTGTGACACCACGCATTCTACAGAGGGTGACATAGTGAGACTCTGTCTCAAAAATAATAATAATAATAAATAAATAAGTACTGGTCTTTAAAATTTTTCATGGCACACCTGAGATCCTCTCATGGCACATCAGTGTCCCACAGCACACTAGTTGAAAATCACTGCTCTACAGCCAACACAAAGGGACAGAGCAGATAGTCCTGTCTAGCTGCAGGGCACACACCCTGCACCTTTGTTCCCAGCTGCTTCCAGGCTGAGACAGGGGTCTATGTGAAGGCAACACTGGTGTGACAGGAGCAGGAATGATCTCTGGACTAATTTTAAAGGCATATTTCAAACCCTTGGAACTCAGGGGCTGCACAGAAAGCCGGCTCCAAATAAAATCACCCTCAGGCTATCACAGCCACCCTCAGGGCAGCACCTACTTGTCCAGGGCCTGAGTTCCACATCACCTCCCTGGCTCCTGAAAACCACCCTGGAGGGTAGATACTGCCATGATCACCATGGCACAGGTGAGAAAACCAAGGCTGAGGGGAAAAAGTGACTTTCCCAGGGGCATGTAGCAACTCTCGCCTTCAGCTGCCAGCCCCCCTGGACATCTTCTCAAACCCCCACTGTCCCCATGCCCAGGGCTGCTTTGAGCACATTGGCCACGCCATCGACAGCTACACGTGGGGCATCTCGTGGTTTGGGTTTGCCATCCTGATGTGGACGGTGAGCACTGGGGAGTGGGCAGGTGGGTGTGGTTGTTGCTGTTGGGCTGGGCGCCCCTCATCTCTTTGCGTCCTCACCAGCTCCCCGTGATGCTGATAGCCATGTATTTCTACACTACACTTTGAGGAGCAAGAACAGAAGACCATGATATCATGACATTCCCAGCTCAGCCTCCTCCACTTCCCGACCCTGCTCTCTCCAGCTGGGGCCTGGATGCCCACCTCACCTCTCCCCTGCCTTCCTTTTACCCCTAAGATCTTTTCCCAGGTTTCTGGGCCCTACTGTGCCTTGGGTATGTCATGAAAGCGCAGTATTTGTGTGCACAGATCCTTAGCCCTCACTTTTGGCTGGTGCCTGGCCTATCTTTCAGGGGTCTTTGGGAGCCTCTTCCCTGATCTTGCCAACCTGTTCGCAGATGTCCCCCTGAGCTCCTTCCTCACGGCAGGTTTGCCATTATTGCTGAATACTTGTGATTGACTGTTTAACCTCTGGTAGACTGGAATTGCCATGAGAGGAGGGACAGGTTCTGTCACAGTCACTTACTGTCCCCATCATTGCCCACCACAGAGCCGAGTATAGATCAGAAATTCAATAAATACTGATTGACTGAATGAATGAATAAATTTGTTTTCTCTGGATCACGGGTGAATGAACAAGAACTCATCCAGATGGAATTTGTTGGCTCACGTAACTGAGTCAGTAGGGCTGGCGTCAGGGATGTCTGGATCCAGGAGTTCCATCTAGGTTTCCAGGGGACGAGCTTCCTTCACAGAAAGGATTTCTCTGGCAACACCAGACTTCATCTTTATAGCTAAGCAACACAGCATTCAGAAAGGGCCTCTCTCCCAGTAGCTTTATTCAACGTCAAGGATTGAATCTCACTGCTTGGATTTAGTTTCTAGGTCCATCCTGTGATTGGGAAGGGAGGGCCCCTGGATTGATAATCTTGCTAAGGATGGATCCAGGAGTGGTGCTGGGGAGAGGGGTTATTTGTCAAAGGAAAATCAAAGTACCGTGTTGTTGAGGTTTACAGGTGATAAACAGCCTCCTAGAAAGTTCTCTAAGGGGTCCGTGACAGCAAACAGTTTAAGAATCCTATTAACCCTCTTGCATCCTCCCTCCCTGAACCAGCCTCATCCTCTGGCCATTGTGCAGCAACTAGGCCTTGCTGGGAGGGCCTGGCTTCTTTCCCCACCAAATAAACGTTTCTCTGGGTCCTTATTTATTCCATGAGTCTGCAAATGATGAGTTCAGATTTCATTTTTTAAAATACACTTTAAAAAAATCTGTAATGTGCCAAGTGCAATAGCTCATGCCTGTAATCCTAGCACTCTGAGAGGCTGAGGCAGGAAGATTGCTTGAGCTCAGGTGTTTGAGACCAGCCTGAGCAAGAACAAAACCTCATGTCTACTAAAACCGGAAAAAATTAGCTAGGTGTGGTGATGGGTGCCTTTAGCCCCAGATACTCTTGAAGTTGAGGCAGATGGGAGCTTGAACCCAGGAGTTTGAGGTTGCTGTGAGCTATGATGCCACCACTGTACTCTAGCCTGGGCACACAAACATAAAACAAAACAAACCAATACAAAAATTTGTAATGGTCAAAGAGGCCACGGTTTATTAGGGTGAAAAATTGGAAACAACCTAACATTCATCAGCAAGGGGTGGGTTGTATATATCATCTTACGTCCTTGGACATTTCTTTTTTTTCTTTCTGAGACAGGACCTCACTCTGTCACCCAGGCTAGAGTGTAGTGGCATCAACATAGCTCATTACGACTTCAAACTCCCAAGTTTAAGTGATCCTCTTGCCTCGGCCTCCTGAATAGCTGAGACTATAGGCATGTACCTGCATACCTGGCTAAGTTTTCTTTTTCTTTTCTTTCTTTTTTTTTTTGGTAGAGACAGGTCTCACTGTGTCACATGGTCTCAAACTCCTGGCCTCAAGCAATCCTCTCCTGCCTTGGCCCCCCAAAGTGCTAGGATTATACACGTGAGCCAAAACACCCAACCTTTGGATTGGAATTTCCTGTGGCTGCTTCATGCCTGTACTCCCAACTTCTCTCAGGAGGCTGAGGCAGGAGGATCTCTTGAGCTTGGGTGTTGGAGGCTGCAGTGTGCTATGATTGCAGTTGTAAGTAGTCACTACACTCCAGCCTGAACAACAGAGATCTTGTCTCTAAATAGTAATAATAACAACAAAATTTTAAAAGAAGATAGCTCTAAGTGAGCTGATATATTAAAAAGATGCCATCATGATATGAGTAACTGAAAAGCACATATAAGGATGTCCATTACAGTAACCTGAATGACCAGGGGGCTGGGTAAATTAGCTCTTCCATCTCTATACTCTTGAATACCACATGGTACTAAAAATAATGAGCCAGAACATTATGTTGAACATGGAAAACATTCCAAGAAGTACACATAGGAAAGATTGAAAACTATCTATACTACTTTGGTTTCTATAGACACATATGCAGGGCTGGTCAAACAGGTTTCTAAAATAATGTTTAAGAAGATGGGGCAAAAACTTTTAGAAAAGTAAAAGTCATCCTAGCACTCTGGGAGGTTGAAGCAGGTGGATAGCTTGAGTTCGTGAGTTCCAGACCAGCCTGAGCAAAACTAAGACCCTGCCTCTACTAAAAATAGAAAAATTGAGGCAAGAGGATCACTTGAGCCCAAGATTTGGAGTTTGCTGTGAGGTGTGACACCACGGCACTCTAACCAGCGTGACAGCTTGAGACTCTGTCTTAAAAAAGTAAAAGTTATTTGTAATTTGTCTATTTATTTGTTTGTTGTTATTATTATTATTATTGAGACAGAGCCTTCGCTAAAGTGCCCCAGAGTCATAGCACAAAGCAACCTCAAACTCCTGGGCTCAAGTGATCCTTTTTGGTTTTTTTTTTTTTGGAAAGTTTCACTTTTGTCATGCTTGATAGAGTGCACTGTCATAGCTCATAGCAAACTCAAACTCTTGGGCTCAAGCGTCAAGCGATCCTCTGGCCTCAGCCCCCCAAGTACCTGGAACTACAGGCACCTGCCACAACTCCCAGCTAATTGTTCTATTTTTGGTAGAGACGAGGTCTGGCTCTTGCTCAGGCTGGTCTTGAACTCCTGAGCTCAAACGATCTACCTGCCTTGGCCTCCCAGAGTAGTAGCTAGGAAGTAACTTTTATATTTAAGAGTATAAAAATTTAGAACTGAGAGTGTCCCACGTTCCACACCCCAGTACACCACACAATCTGGCCCAACCCCGTAGATAACAGTCGTTAGACATGTCTCTACATACTTCACATAAGCACTTGTGCCTTTAATAGAATCATGCTTTAAATCTCTCTTTACAACTTGCTTTCTTTCCCTAACCACATATTGCGGTTATCTTTCTAAGCCAGTATACATCAACCCACTGCTGCAATATATTCCAGACTGCAGAGATCACAGGTTGTCATGATCTGTTTACTGTTCAGTGAAAAAAGCAAGAGCAGAACATTGTGCTGAAGTCATTTTTGTAAAAATTCTATGTAAGTGTTTCCCAAGAACAACTCCTTGGGGGGGTGGGGGGAGTGGGATGAAGGCTGAGAGTAGGAGAAATTTTCACCATATCGTATGTTTTAGTACACATGTTTTACAACATGTGAAAAAAGTTTTATGAAGATTGTCTTTTTTTTTTTTTAAACAACAGAGTCTCACACTGTCATCCTGGTAGAGTGCTGTGGTGTCATAGCTCGCAGCAACCTCAAACTCTTGGGCTCAGGTGATCCTCTTGCCTCAACCTCCCAAGAAGCTGGCACTACCCACAAAAATGCCCCCAAGATAGTTTTTCTATTTTTAGGAGAGATGCGGATTGCTCTTGTCAGGCTGGTCTAGAACTCCTGAGCTCAAACAATCCACCAGCCTTCACCTTCCAGAGTGCTGGGATTGCAGGCATGAGCCACTGCGCCCAGCCTCTATTATTTTTCATAAACAAAATCCAGTACAGAGATTTCTAAATCACTTAACAGTATATGGCTTTACTTTTCAAACCAGAATTCTGAAAACACTGTATAGACATGATACATATCACATTTTATCACTCGGGACCCCATCCAGGTTAAACAGCCCTAACTAGCTCTTCTTGCAGGCTCTGGAATGAAACTTCTCCTCCACCTTGAGCACATATTTGAATGGCTTGTAAACATGTCAGGGAAAGGGAGGATTCCACCCTAATCTGCTTTTGAAGTCCGGTGTCTTCACAAGCAAGTTCACAGCGACTAAGTTTGAGACTGAGATTCTCAGAGAGAGGCAAAAAGTCAGGACTGGGTTCCCACCTGCCCCACCAGACTCTCTGAGCCTCAGTGCGCCCCTCTATACATGGGAGTTGTGACAGTCTCTACCTCATAACATAGAGCTCAGGAAACAGTAGACTTTTTTTTATTATGAATCATGTATTTTCTTAATCCCGTACAATCAGAACTAAATGTAGAAATAAACTATTGGCTAAGGCTGCAATTGTCTCTAGTGAACCCCAATTTCAAATGTTTAGAGCTCTATCCTTGACATATGGAAATAATCGACTTGCGGAAGTAAGTCACATATTTGCATTTTTAAAAGTAAGGTCACACTTGAAAATGCTTGGTGCTTTCCGTGAGAGATGTCCAACTCACGAGCTCAGCTTATGTTAAAGTTAATAACATATGGCTGAGGGTCTTTAAAGAATATTTGAGGCTCGGCACCCGTAGCACAGTTGTTATGGTGCCAGCCACATACGCCAAGGGTGGTGGGTTCAAACCCAGCCCAGGCCAGCCAAACAACAATGACAACTGCAACAAAATATAGCTCGGCGTTGTGGCAGTTGCCTATAGTCCCAGCTGCTTGGGAGGCTGAGGCAAGAGAATCACTTAAGCCCAAGAGTTTGAGGTTGCTGTAAGCTGTGACACCATAGCACTCTACCAAGGGCAACATATAAGACTCTGTCTCAAAAAAAAAAGTTTGAGGAGTTAATAGCCATTGATTGATATGCATTAAATCAGGTTTTTTTTTTTCCCTTAAAAATCGCACTGCAGGCTAGGCGCCTATAGCTCACCCGGCTAAGGCGCCAGCCACGTACACCTAAGGTGGCGGGTTCGAATCCCCAGCCCGGACCCGCCAAACAACA